GTTTGACAGGATCTATCTTCCATAAACCCATAGTAATTGGCATTAATTATATAATCCTTCTTTGATTATTTACTAACTAAGTCCGGAGTCAACCACTGCATTATCAATGCATGCCTAGTAGCTTAATTGTTTTCTTGATTGATGTCCTGATGGCAAATCGCATATGGGATTCTATGATCATCTTCAAAAGATTTTTCCCTTCTGAGAACCCATCGTTACTGTCAGAATGCAATATTCTGTAAGAGAGCTAGGCTACTTTTGGTCCCATTTATTATAAATTATGCACATTTATTATAGATTTGAGCACCTCAGGTTAACTAATATCATTTGACTTGCTTGCTCCCTGGAAGGTATCTTTATCAAGATGCTGTGTAGTACCAGACACATTCATTCTTCTCTTACTTAAATATGCAATTGGAGCCAATACATACCCAGGGAGTTAGGTAGAGCCTTGTACTGAAAATGATTCTGTGGTGGGAATGTTTGAAGAACCACAGATAGCAGGGCCTTGTTAGCCTACGTATGTTATACATATTAGACCACATCAGTATGTATTAAGTGCACACTATGAATATTGCATGGATGAATATACCACCTGAATTGTATTGTTTTTCCCCACAACGGTGTTCACTCTTGATATCCCACAATGCCTGGAATAGTACAACTTGGCGTTTTACATAAGGGAAAAGGAAAACTGTCAAAGGCAAAATACATTAATAGTCTGCCCCAATACAAAGTGGGGAGGTGCCTTCACAGACCAGTACCTGGAATGCTAGTATCCAAAATAAAGATAAGTAAGATACAGAACAACACAGTAAGGAACAGGTACAAACTGGTGGGCTGGATCTTAGGTGATGTATAAAGTGAACACACTGGGAGATCGGAATTGCTTCCTGAAAGGAGGGTATATGTCTGTCTCCTTTTCATATTGTACTGTTTTGTCTTTGGACAATAAATTTGGCTCAGTTTGGTTATTTGGTCTCTAAAAACATTTTTCATAACGAACCAACAAGTGTAGTCAAACAATTGGCTATACTATTAATTACAGCCTGATGGGAACATGCAAGCCTTTACTAAGTCTACTGATATTATTTAACGCCATCGCCTTCTGAACTTATACTTGAGCATTTGTTGAAGAGTTTAAGGCAGATTACTACCTGAACTCCACAAAATTTCAGGGGAACTATGAAAAAGATTTAACATACACATTGGAATCTCATTGTCTAGAATTGGCTCTACGGTTCCCATACAGCACTAAAAACTTGCATAATTCCTCTTTACTGGATTCAATGTGGTTGCTGATTAAACACATTTAATGAACTGTTTTCGTTTTTGAGTGATCCCTTTAAATAGCCTCAGTCAGATAAAGTGAAGATGATTATATATTTCCATTCCTGGAGGAGTAGAAGCCAGAGGTGTTTACACTGAGATTCTTGATGTCAGTGGCTGGTCGGAAAAGAGGGGTGTATTCTCTTGGAATAATTCTCCTCTGCATCTATCTTTAGAGAAATGCCTTCTGAGGAACTTATTTGGTGAAAGGATTTGTTTTTCTCTTCCATTGAATCAAAAATTAAAGATGGAATAGACCCACTGAATTATTTTGTTCATCCTTCATCCAGTGCAGTACTGTTCCCTACAGTATATTTGTTAATGGTTTATTCACCCTAACTCTAAATATTCCAACAATAGGGCTTCCACCGCCACTTCTATTGATAGCAGCCGTCCTCCATAATAACCAACTTATTAGCAAACCAAGCATTTTTGAGTCCAGAAAAGGAAAAAAAGTGTTATTTTCCCCTCAACAAAAGTAGTCCACTATCACAAAATACTCCCCCTAGGTAAATATAACACTTTGCTTTCCTTCAAGAATCTCAGCATGTTTACAAACATTCATTTAGCTTCACAACCTGGTGTGGTAAATATCATCCCTATTTTACAGACAGGGAAACTGAGGCAGAGAGCGGTCACATCACTCAGGCAATGTCACACACAAAGACTGTGGTGGAATTGGAAGCAAAATTCCACAATTCCTAGGACTATACTTTAACCATCATTCTTTAATAATGAGCCATATTAATGAAGTTCGCCAAAGTAGTATATTCAAAGCTGTTATTAAGGTTTCTTCATAGTTGGGCAGGTCTGAAATATAGCCTACTTTCAAAATAACACACATACACCTTAATGAGGATTGGTGGACTTAATCCATCCTGGAGGAAAATACTTACTGATTATCAGCATGCTTGGTGCTGCATAAACAGAAATGGAGCCCTGTCTCAAGGAGTTTCAATTTAATATCAGAATCAGACAAACACACTTCAGGATATTGGCAGATTTTGTAAAATATTTCTCCCAGAAATGTAGTCCAAATTACTGTAGAAATATGTTTATGATATTAGAGTTCTAATATTTGTTTTGTTACAGAGAAAGTCTAATTACATGGTCTTAAAATAGAAACAGTATGGCACACAAATTTAGCGAGGGTTATATAAGCTTCCTAATCCTTCTACTTCATTATCCACGACAAATTCATTAACAGTAATTTATTGGCTGGATCCAGAGTTTATACTCCCTCGCTATTCAGACACTACAGGCATGAGGTACACTGATCTCAGTTACATCTCTGCACATTTTTTGCACCTTAACTCTTGACCTGTCTGTCTGAGTGAGACAGTAGGGGTGTGATCCACAAAGGTACTCAGGCACCTAAATCCTGTTTTTACCTGCCACTGCAATCCACAAAACTCCCATTCAGCTGCCACCTAGCCCTGTAGATGCCTAAACTCACTAAGCACCTAAGTTTTTTCCTCTGGGCATGTGTACTGCAGCCTCACCCTAGGCACCCAAGTGCCTATCGCCTGCCTAAGCACTACTGCCTCATGATAAAGGTTCAGATGCCTATCTCCTGCCTAAGTCCCAGAATGATTCACAAGCCTGGAAAGAGAAGGTGTTCATCTGCTTAAGTCACATCCAGAGACCTGATCTGGTAGGCGACCTCTGGGCATGGCTACCATATTGGGCCCCTCAGGCAATCTGGGGGGCAGGAGGGAAGAAGAACATTCCTTAAAACCTTTAACCTAGTGGATAGGATACTCACCCAGGATGTGGGAGAACCCCAGTTCAAGTGCCCTCTCCTCCCGAGGGGGAAAAAGGGATTTGAACTAGGATCTGGCAACTCTCATATGAATGCCATAACTACTAGGCTATGGAATATTTTGATATGGATCTTCCTCAATCTCTCCTATTGAAGTTGTTACACTTTAATAAAACAAATGAATAATTAAATATTAACTGGGTCAGTGAAAGAGTTAAAATTACTCTATAGCAGTGGTGGGCAATCTGCAGCCCCCATGCGGCCTGTCAGGGTAATCCGCTGGCGGGCCGCGAGACAGTTTGTTTACACTGACCATCTGCAGGCACGGCTGCCTGCAGCTCCCAGTGGCCGCGGTTCGCCATTCCCAGCCAATGGGAGCTGCAGAAAGCGGTGGCCAGCACCGCTTCCCGCAGCTCCCATTGGTCGGGAATGGTGAACTGCAGCCACTGGGAGCTGCGGGGAGCCGTGCCTGCAGACGGTCAATGTAAACAAACTATCTTGCGGCCCGCCACTGGATTACCCTGATGGGCCGCAGGTTGCCCACCACTGGTCTATAGGCTAGTGATTAGACCACTCACCCGAGATGTGGCAGATCCCTGTTCAAACCCCTTCTCCCCCATCAGGAGCAGGAGGGACTTGCACTGGGAGTCTCACAGATCCTGGGTGGGTGCCCTAACCATTAGGCTAAAGGTTATTAGGGAGGTCCTCCTCCCACATCCCCCAACCATTTAGTTTCAGACCCCAAACACAGTTCAGGCGGCAGGACAACCTATTTTCTCCAGGTTGCTAGCAGAGCTAAACACTTCCCTGCAGCCTGGACTTAAGCACTTATCTCTGAAAGAGAGGCAGGGCTTAACACACACCCCTCTGCTCAGCATCTCCCATTGGCTATCTTAGGCATCTTCAGGTCTAGCATGCTGGCTTTGTGGATCTCATTCTAAGGTGCCTCTCTCTCCCCATTCATTCTACAGGGAGCCTAGGCACCTAACCCAGGCTTTGTGGATCACAGTGTTTGTTGTTCCTGTGATTTTATAAAGGTTAGATGCTGAACACTATAGTGCCTGAGTCCCTTAGTGGACCTGGGCCTAAGCTCTTTGCAGCAAAGTTCTTGTCTTCCTATACATTTTGTATCTATCATGTACACTTACTGTACTACAAATAATAAGTGGACATGTGGACTCAGTAAACTAAACCCACAAGGAAGCATCTCATAGAGGAGGAACAGTCTTGGAACATAATGCTACCATTTCTAAGAATCACAGAATATCAAGGTTGGAAGGGACCTCAGGAGGTCATCTAGTCCAACCCCCTGCTCAAAGCAGGACCAATCCCCAACTAAATCATAAAGGAGCTGAATGTAACAATTAAGTAAGGAAACTGATGAGCAAACAAATAGCATGCCTCCCGAGGCAAATAAACCAAAAGGCTTAACACAGGGGCTCTTAATAGGGGTGTGGGGGGGGAGGAAAAGGGGACAAACGCACCCCGCAACTAAGAAGTTACTGAACAGAAGATGGGGGGAGGGTTGCCTGGCTTTTCCACAACTCCAGCACAGTACTGAGGTAAGATCGGTCCAGCGGGCGACATCAGGCTGCAAGAGATAGTGACAGTGGACCCCTCTCCCCTTCCGCCCACCTCCTTTTCCTCCAGACAGACCCGAGTAATTGCAGTAGACAAAAACCTGGGGGGGGGGGGGGTATTTCACCCCAACCCTACCAGCAGCAGGGACACAAACATGACGGACTCGGGGGTCTCCAGCAGCAGCAGGGCCCTCGGTTCAGTCGGGCCCTGGCTTGATATTCCCCCCTTCCCCTGCGCTGCCTTCCCGGCCCCCCTCGCCCCCCACCGGGGGGAGCTGATGATCCGGCCCCCCTCGCCCCACGGACGCCCCCCCCGGCCGGCCCCTCACCAGGCGGAGCTGGCTGGTCTCGTCGTAGGAGAGGAAGCCGAGGATGCTCTCGATGGCCACGATGGGCAGCCCCACCAGCGTGTTGCTCTGAGGGAGCTGCTCCAAGGGCGCCGGGGCCCCCTGGAGCTGGGGGGCCGGGGGCGGGGAGAGGCGCGCCGAGCCCATGGCGCCTCCTTCCCCCTCCGACAGGAGCCGCTCCTCCGCCACCGCCGCCATCTTGGGCCCTGTCCCCCTCCAGTCCTCGGCTGGGGGGAGGGGGACTTCCTGTGACAGCACTTCCGCCCCCCGCCCGTCCTGAGCGCCGCTACGGGGCGCGCGGGGGAGGAGGGGAGTCCTGGCCCGGCCCGTCCCGTCCCCTCCCCTCCCGGGTTGTGACCCCCCGGGTCCTTGGGCGCCAGTGGCCTGATCCACCTGCAGGCCCCGTGCTGCCGCTGGAGCGGCCTGGGGGCGCCGCCCTGAGCACCCCAGTGTACCCCGCTCTGTGACTAGCCCCTTCCCCCAGCCGCTAGCGCCCAGCGGGGAGCTGCCCCGGGGTGGCAATAGGTGAGTGGGAGCGGCTGGAAGCGGGGTGTCATCTACGCTGAGCTGATCCTCCGGGGCCAGCAAATCCAGCCCGGCGCCTCAGCCCGAGGGAGTTACTGCTCTGTGGGGTATCGCTGGCGAGGAAGGAGGGGGCCTGTCCCCGAAGAGCTGACAGTGAGGCCCCCGACAGCGACCTAGGGGTCAAGGAAGGAGAACAAAAGGGATGGCTTTGTGGACAGACCCCTCAGCCAGCAGACTGTTCGTTTGCGGGCTGAAATACCCCAGGCTGCCCCTCCACCATGCCCTTGTTGAAGGGGGCACGGGGGCATTTTAGATAGCTCCAGTATTGCCCCAGGGTTGTCCCACACAGGTTCTGAAGACAGTGCCCATCTTCCCTCTGTAGGGCTCTTCCTCTAAGAGGCTCTGTTGGACCACCCTACTTCTCCAACAACAGTACTGCCTCTCAGAACTGCCAGCTGTCCAGGCACCTTGTCTTTGGCCCAAAGGCCTTCTGCAAATAAATTGGAGAGAGACTGAACATCCATGGGGTCCTCCGGCCTCCTGCTGCTCGATCACAGATAGGAGAAGAGGTTGTATGTGCATGTAAAACAAATGGGTGACCACTTCTTATTGTTACTGTTTGCATCACAATAATACGTAGCGTAGTTGTAGCTGTGTTGGTTCCAGGATATTAGACAGACCAGGTGGGTGAGGTAATATCTTTTATTGGACCAACTTTTGGTCAGAGAGACGAGCTTTTGAGCCACACAGAGCTCTTCTTCAGGTCATACATGGTACATAGAACAAATACTATTTCCAAAAGGTCAGTGAATCACAGTTAATATTATGGGGAGTTCTCTGCCTTGATCCACTCTTTGTGCTGTTTAGGCAGCATATAGGGAGTGGAGGCTACTCACAAATCCCCAGCTGGCAACATGTTCCCCATATGCGATATGAGCACCTTTCTGAGCCTATCACCATCTTGCCCCAACCTATCAGTACCAATGGCTAATTGGGGAGGGTCAGGAGCAAGAGGAGCCACCACCATGGTCAGAGTCCTTTCCCCATTTCTGGGGAGAGGCAGCAGCAAGAACCAGAGGGTGTATTAAGGAGGAACAGGTCTAGGAGCTGTTTTAGCAGCCACAAAGGAGCTCCTGGTGCCTGCCTGCAGTAGTTGAGTACCACAGGAGCTCCTGAATTCAATAGGAGTAGTAGCAACAACCCAGGACAAGGAGAGTACCCCAAGTGAGGGAACCAAGGTGTCAGTGTACTTCAGCAAGGAACCCAAGTGGCAGCATCACTTTGTTTTTCATTTGGTCTAGGTGTTATCCTTCCTGCAGCCAGTGGGGCAGAGGTGGGTTGGGTGAGGACAGGGAATGGCTAGAGTGTATGGTAGCTTGGGGACCATAGCCAGCTGTCCCAAGTTAGAGCAGCTCTCAGACTGATCCTATGGATCCAGAGAATATAGAGGGTAAAGGATAGCCAGAACAAACCAAACTCTCAACTGCACATGAGTAACAACTCTGAAGTTAATGAAATTTCATGGAAATAACAGCAAAATGTGGTCCACCAAAGGGATGGGTTAGGATAAACGGACCTAGAATATAGTTTCCATTGGGCCTATAAAATGTCATGATGATTCTTGTTGTAACTAATGACTTTTTAGCTACCTAAAATCCCTGTGGATTTCCCCTGCTACGATGAAAAAGTAACTAGTTGTTTGTTGGTTACTAAGGTAAATGATTAGGGGATGGAGATTAATTTATGATTTTCAAAGACAATCCTGGGAACTGGCCTCTCTCAAAGGGCTAGTCCGCTAATGAAGGAGTAATTTGGGAGCAGCAGAGAAACAATGGGAAAGCCTTTATGTGTATCATCACAATGGCATTCCAAAAATGTGTTCTGAAATGAATATTTCCTACCTGGGAGCAGAACATTATATGCCAAGTACATATTTGGAGGCATTTTGCCTTATTTTTTCCCCATTAATGTCTAAAACTACAAGCCAATATTAGAACAAGGCCTTCCTTTTTCCTCTATAATTTCAGGATCTGACAGCCTTTCCAAGACAAACCATAAGTGGTTTCAATCCAGTTACGGGGATTCACGATAGGTTTGTGACTTGGCACATATAGTTCAGGCAGACAGCTCATTAACATTTTCAAAATTAGGAAGAAAAAGCAATTTCCATTAGTTACAAATGTGTTTTTAATTGTTTTGAATGCTTAACTTGAAAAGTTTGTTTTTAAGATATAGTTTTGTAAATAATTAGTAATTAGTCTGCTGAGTTAAAGCTCAGACTCTCTGCTGAATCTGATGTTTTCTTCTTTCTGTATCATATTTTAGAATGGTCAATTTGTAAATGATCCAGTGCTTAATCTTGAAAAACATACATCATCCTTATCTGTAGATGATCCACAATATAGCCTTAATAGTGGCCTACCATTTGAGCCCATAGTAAGAGACTCTGGAGCCCATAACCCCGGCAGTTACCCCTGGAAGTATTATGTAAGGTAATAAAGGTTTTAGTGCATGCCAAATCATAGGCCGGCAGATTTTGCAGTCAGTGTTTACAGTTGATGCAGGATATATATTCTGTACCCTACTAGAGCTGTCATCTATCTAGATTTTTGTAGAGCTTGCAAGACATTAAAACAATCTTGCAATAGCCTCAGAGCTAATGCAACATCGTGACATGATGATGGTTGTCTATGTCACACTGAATTTTTTGGGAAACTTTCAGCAAAAATGGTTCAGTGATTTCCAGAAAGAAGGTTAGGGAAAAATAGGCTGTTTTGTTAAAAAAAAAAATTCTTGCAGTTGTTTCTTTGAGAAACTACAGTGCCTCCATACTTGGGAATAGGGACATGAAATTTGGCATGGAAGCTGCCCTAGTGTCAGAGATGTGGCTTTTGCTGTCCCTGTGAAAATCTGCCAAATTTGGCCAAGTTATAAACCTCTGAAAAATCTCAGTTCACCCAGACTTAGCCTTGTTAGAATTTGACAGAGGAATTCTGAGAAGATTTCATCTGCCCTGAACATGCTCCATCCCTCCATGTGCCATCCCCTCAGAGCAACTGAGCATGCTCCAACCAAGGGCTGCAGGGGCTGAACAAACTTTTCCTGTAATTGCTCCTCCTGGCTGCCTAATTTTTGAATGCTTAACTTTGCAACTCTAGCATTCTGTTAACATTGTTTTTTGTATGCAGTATTTGATACAGAGTAGAATTAGTGTGGAGAGAAATAGAATATAGTACAGTCCAATTCATTTTAAACTCTTCAGGGTGACACCTCCTACCAGGACATTTAACGTGCAAAAGTATGCAGATGATACAGTAAGATTCTTATTTGGAAGCAAAGATTTTCTAGAGTGAGAATTGCACCAGCTTAATTAAGATTTGTGTTTAAACTGGTTTAATTAAACTGGTGCAACCCGCAGTTCTTTTTTTTTTTTTAGTTTTAGTGGCTTATGTTGGTTTACATTAGTTTAATTGGGAACAGGTTTAAATGGAACCAAATGAGCCACTCTTATACCAAAATACGGGTTCACATAGGGGTTTGCACTGGTTTAAGTAAACCAGTTTCAGTTAAACTGGTGCAAAGTTGGGTGTGGACAAGTCCTAAGTTGTAAAATACATACAAAAAAAATTGGAATCAAAACTGTTTATCCAAAGGAGTGAATACAATAGTGAATGACTCTCGACATGGCATGAGACACAGGCAGTAATACCCTTGCTCTGCAGAACACCAAGGTATACCTGCCTAGTCATTAACATGCCTACAGAACAATGCCAGCTGACTAAGCATGTGGCAAACCGAGAATACTGCCCCTCATCTCTTTGTTACAACTACAATCAAAACGCAAGTAGTGTATGCAAAAACATCATGTTACTGCTTCCTTGTCCTTCCTCACACACTCCCTGCTTTGTTTGTTCACCCAGCTGTTGTAGCTTGTCTTTAAAATTGTATGTTCTTTGGGGCAGGGACTGTCTTTTACTATATAGCCATATAGCACACAGTGCAAGAAGTTTCCAACCAGGTACAGGCCTTTACTTTATCTGTAATACAGTATTGCTTAATCAATACCAATGTCACTTGGGCTTGGTGTCGCATATGGTAATAGGTCAGGAACATCAAAGAAATCTGAAAAGGAAAGCAAAATTGCAAATCAGGTGGGAGATGTATCATGCCCACCCATAGACCAGAGGGTTCGGTCTCAGAAAGACACTAGCCAGGGAAGGAGAAAATGCATTCTCTATAAATGTAAGATTGTGATTCTTAACTAAAACAACATGGATTAGACTGACCTTAATTAGCTTCCGCAGGATCAGGCTGGACATGTCATGCAAACAGTTGCTTTTACCCAGTCTGATTTTCTCTCTCTTTTTCAACAAATTTTGTTTTGCCACAATCCAGGTGGTTTAAGATTGGTATTTGAGAAATTGATGCAAACTACCCTGGGCAGGGTTAGAAACCTTCAACCTCCAAGATGATGTAAGGGAGAAAGGATGGCTGGAGCCCACGTTTCTCTGGATTTGTGGTCAAAAGGGTCCTCTCCTCTAAGGAGTGTTAATATTAAAACTGCAGGCCTCCAGACATGTAGGAAATGCCTATTGACCACAGATAAGAACTGAGTTTAAGGGGCATAGGTGACAATTACCCAACTGGGAATTTACCCAGATATTGTTTTTATGTCTCATCTGAAAGGTCAAGACAGTGATCCAAAACCAACTGCCCATTGGTTTGGTACCGATCCAGTGGAGGAGTGTCATCTGTAGAATCACCAACACCACTTCCCACATCACTCTGGATGTTCCTTGGAAATCCAACTTACTGCCATTCAAGTACTGAACAGTCCAACCCTAAAGCTACATATTAACTGGAGTGGATTTGTGGGAACATCTTATGGTCAACTTGGAAAACTACATGCCTTTATTCACAAAGGTGTGAAATCCAGTCCTGTGTAGAGGGCCACTCCCAGGCCTTTGAACCATTCAAGGTCACTTCCAGATAGGCCCGATGCTGAGGAACTGGTCTGGTGTGTGGAGGGAGATGGATTCAGTGTATACTGTTGTGCAACAGAGGAAGTTATAATTTGTTTAATATTATTAGTAGTAAATATGGTAATATCCAAGGCTGCAATTGGGATTGAGGCCCTATTGTGCTGGGTGCTGTACAATCACAAAAAAAAGAGAGTCGCAGCCCTGAAAGGTTTACGATCTAAAGATTTAGTGCTTACAATATGCTGGGAAAAGTACAATTAACTAAAGAGGCTTTGACTCAGAAAAGCAGTGAAGCAGTATCTACCGAAATAGGAAGGAGAATTATGAGGAGGTATTAGCTTACATGGCTTTTGCTCTCCACCTCTTTTCTTAGAACATTCACAAAAACAGGAAAAGATTGCCTGATTTCCTAATTAAGGGCCCAATTATTCTGTCAGCTACACTGGTGTAAATCTTGAGTAATTCCTTTGGCTTCAGCATATTACTTTAAATTTACATTAATGTATTTGAGAAAAGAATTTGGCCCTAAAAAGGACAGACAGGAAATGCCTTTGATGATCATCAGCTGAATCCGGCTTTATTGGCATGACAAGCTGTTGAGTGTTGCCAAAGTGTAAGAAAAAGACAGGCCATCAATCATCTGTCAGAGGCAGGTATGAGACACCCAGAATAGAGTTACACACTAGGTTTGGGATCGGATCCCCTGTGTCTGTCTATCATTACAGTCCTTTCCTGATCTTGTAGCAGCAGGTTGCTGTAACATGAAGCCAAAATAGAATATCATTTGGTTATGAGCACTGGGAGAATATGTCAATATGAAAATATATGAAGAGAATATGTAAATTGACGAAGAGAATACATTAAGGATCCAAACCTGCAGACCTTCTAAGGCCATGTCTACGCTACAGTGACACAGTACAGCACTGCAGCTGTGCTGCTGTAGCACCCTAACGTAGATGCTTCCTACGTCGACTGAAGGTTTTTTTTCTATCAATGTAGTTAATCCATTTCTCTGGGAAGCAGTAGCTAGGTCAACAGAAGAATTCTTCCATTCACCAAGTTGCATCCACACTGAGGGTTAGGCTGACTTTACTGTAGTGCTCAGGGTGCAACATTTTTCACAGCATTGAGTGACGATGATCTCATTTTTAAGTGTAGAGCAGGCCTAAGAAAACTATTTTGGGCTTGATCCTGCATTCCTTTTGCATCCAAAACTCATAGATGTTGTGGTATTCTGAAAATTGTGTTAAAATTGTGATAGCACTTTACATTCCATGGGGTTTTGCTAGGGCTCTGTAGGGAAGCATGTGATCAGATTCTCTCTGTGTGTAGCCAGCCAGGCTAGAGTGACAAACAGGGTCAGCGTGAGCTGTGCCTCTGCATTTTTAGGAAGCAGCCTGCTTTCTCTCTCTCTGATTTTGGATTCTTATTTGTTATTGTTCTGAATTCTAAGAATAAAGTAGTGTTTGTTACAAGCTTCCAGCAAGAGTATTTTATGTTTTTATCTAACTTCTGTGTCTGTATGCTGTGAAACAACAGATTTCACTGTCTCCTTCTTTCCTTGACTTCATTGGAATGCTCATGTGAGTTAAGGGAGGTAACTAGTGCTTGGGAGTGGGAGAGAGGCAGTAGGTAGGGGGAAAGGAATAAAGTTTCAGTATTAAGTTGCTCTCCACATTTCATGAATACTCAGCTCAGATGTACATTCAGCACCAGTTTGTGGCCAATCAGTACCTTGTGGTTTCTGCTGGGGGTGTGTGCAGTTTCAGTCACAGGCTAAATAAGCGACAAAGAGTCCTGTGGCACCTTATAGACTAACAGACGTATTGGCGCATAAGCTTTCGAGGGTGAATACCTACTTCGTCAGATGACATGCATCTGACGAAGTGGGTATTCACCCACGAAAGCTTATGCGCCAATACGTCTGTTAGTCTATAAGGTGCCACAGGACTCTTTGTCACTTTTTACAGATCCAGACTAAGACGGCTACCCCTCTGAGGCTAAATAAGGGATGTGCTCATTCAGCACATTCCTCAGCTGGCCTAACCATTCCTCTTCACTGGCCAAGTGTCAACTCTACTTCTGGAGCTAGATGGTGCCTCCAGGCAGAAAGGACTTTGTGCTACCTTGGACTGCTTCAGTTGCTCCAAACAGACTTTCTGTTGCACAGGGCCTTCTGCCAGGGTCTGTGCTGAGAGAAGTTGGCATAGGCCCCAGAGTGAATCTGGTCCAGTGAATACAATTCAGTACCTAGAAGCAAGCAACAGCGAGAGGGAGGGAAATACACTATATATGCTACATACAGGGCACCCATTTGTGTCAGACCAACTTTTGGGGCGGCGGGGGGGGGGGGAAAGAAGGGCTGGTGTAGGGGAAATTTATTTCTTCTGTACTTAATACACAGCATAAGCATTCTTTAACTTGGAAAATGTTTGATTTGTATATTGAATTACTTCTGAAAAAAGCCATGGCTTTAAATTACAGAGAGTAGAGTTAAGGGGAGAAAACTAGGATTTTAATCTAACAAATACTTCGAGAGGGTTTGCAGAATCTTTGGTTCATGGAAGTTCACTCATCTCTTGATAGGTTGGAAGAAGTGAAAAACTATATTCATTGTGAGTGCTGTGTGTGTGTAGTGGTACTGACAAATCATCCTCTGCATTTATGGAATCTCCATTTAAAATCTTCACAGAAATCTCAAACCAAGAGCAGAATATGTTACGGCCTAGCTCTATACAAGTTTCTACAGTAGTTTCTGGGTGCTGCTGGCTCGTCACTTGTAAATAGCTATTAGCTTACTCATTGTTATTATTATGATTTGACATTTGTGTATTGCACCATGGAAGCACATGGAACTTTACAGAGATAATCTTCTAGGTTATGAGATAAATGGTTTCTAAAGTTCTCCAGTCTAATTTACTGCTACTTACTTTTCAGATTAAAGATCAAAAGAATCAAATGCTGCTTTGTTGTGTAATCGTTCACATAAGTGCTAAGTGGGTCTAATGTGATACCAGATCAGATTGGTAGCGTTTTATACCCACTTTGTACAGATGCAAATGACAATACAAAATACAAGACAAGCCTTTGCTCTTTCAGGTGTGATAACATTGTGTGATTCGGCTATTCCAATTGCTGAGAAAAACACTTTTTGTTTGGTTTGGGGTGAGAATGTCACATGGAGTTCCATTTTCTGTCTGGATTTTCATTCAGCATAATCTTCAGCACAGCTATTCCTGTTTTTATCTCAAGTGGGTACTGTACTTATGACACACCACACAGGAGTGCTTCAAATGGCCATCCAACAAATCCTTCAACCAAACCAAACCATCCAACCAAAAGCACAATGACTGAAAGATTCTTCATGAGGTGTTTACCGATGTGTTGAGCAATAGAAAGTGCACTACAGCTGAGGAGAGTAGGTTCAATTGTCCCACAGAGAGGATCTTCCCCTTTCAACAAGCAGAGGTATGGAGTTAAACAGTTACCTCTATAATACTCCTCAGACTCAATGGAGAGTCCATTGCACTGCCTAGGATCCCCATATGTAGAGGGCAAGAGGTGGGAATTGGATATGCTAGATTTATCCTATTGACAATTAATGGTGTCCATTTAATACAGTCCAAGGCATGCCACGAAGGGTTCTAGGGGTGGTGGAGGCCAGAAGAATCTGGCTCCAAAAAGTAACCAGATGGGTAGCATTGGGCTCCAGCGCTGATGCAGAGACCATGCCTTGTGGCTGACCCTGGCCCCTAGCCCATCTCCTCGGATCTAAATGGATCTCAGAAAGGTGCAGATTCTGGGGTCAGTAAACTCCTTCCTCTTACCTTTTGAGGGACAAACTCTGCCACCACTATCAAAAAAACAGAATCTCCCTGTATCTAGTCCCTCCCACAACTTCTATAGGAGGAAGGTGATCTGGCCAAGTATCACTCTTTTTTTCTAAAATAATCTAGATACCCAAAATTGAGCATATAAATAATATATTAAAACACCTGTAAGAAGCATTAGGGATCAGCTGGGTGAGAGCAGTGTGGATTATACAGGTTTTCTTTTTCCAATGGTCCAGTGAAATCTCTTAATTCACCTGTTTGCGAAGAAAGTGACAATGACACCTACAGACATGGCAAACAGAGAAAAAGGAGACAAAGGGATAAATGTGTGTTTGGACTTTTCCACCCTTGGAATGCTGTACCTCAAGCCTCTTGAGTTTAACTAAGCCCTCCTCCCACCATTCTCCTTCCAGCAACCCTTTCCTCCCACCCTCCAGCCCTCTCCTGGCTCTCTGCACCCTCAGCCGCCAGGAAAAACTGGAAGAGAGCTCACCATATTAGACATGACACAGACTTAACAGCAGGTGGTGCTGGATAGTAAATGTAAAACACGAGGCCTGAATCTGCTCCTGTACTAATTTTACATGATATTATTCCATTCATTTCAACAGACTAACTCCTTATTTTCTCTCTTCTAAAAGACAAGAATCAGGCTCAGCATATTAAAGAGGTTATCTCCCAGTATAACCAGCTGGCAAGCCTAGCAGTGATTTTTCAACACATTATGGACAGGATACAGCAAAGGATTAGAAGAGCTGTGGAGAGAAGCAGCAGAGATGCATTTGAGCAACTTGGACTCAGTATTAAACAGGATGACAGGTTGCAGGATGAGAAGATGTAGAATTTATTGAGCATACAGATCTGATGCTGTAGGAATGCATCCAGTAACAGAAACTATAGAGTTATCACAGGTGTAGCAAACGTGTGAAAGGCAGGAGTGCTGGTAAAGAAACTGATTTTTATTTCTTGGACCCATATGGCATGGGTCAGGGCAACAAAAGATTAGGCCCCTATCATATAGTAGGGGTGAATCTCCATTGACTCCAGTGCCTACTGTTACAACTAGTGCCCACTAGCAGCCCAGATCACCCCTCTGCTTATGCAAGTGAATAGGGTTGATATTAAGTGGATGCCTCCTGAAAGAGCATGAAGAGAAGAGGGATGGCACTTCTGCATTGTCACCCCTCCCTTGGACTCTCTACAAGCTATTCCAGAAGCACTAACTTCTACTGGATCCCTTCCCTTACTGCTTCTGAATAGCTGCATAGGGGGACAGACAGTAGAACCATGGCTCTTTCTGGAGCTATGCTGCCAGAAGTGGGGGCCAGAGAAGCATCACAAATAGGGCTGGATTAACCTTTTGTGGGCCCAGCGCCAAACATATTTGTGGCCCCCATGGAGGCAATGGACCATGGCGCGAGGAGGTCAGTCCCCGGAGCGAGGGGCCAGCCAGAGGCAATGGGGCCAGCCAGGGCAGAGGCGGCCCCACTCCGCCCAATGAAAGGTCACTATTTACAAACCGGCAGTTGCCAGACACATAGTGGCCTGCCCGGCCATGTGCTGCCAGCATTCCCCTTCCCCTCGGGGGCAGGCCTATGCCATGCCATACAGCCCCCAACACCCCTGACTCCCTGTGGCCAGAGGCCCCCTGGACCCACCCACAAATGCACAGCGCCCTGCACAACAACACCCCTCCCTAGTGCCCCAACACACACAGATTCTCTCTGCCCCTTCACAGCCCAGCACCCCCTCATACTCCTCACAGACCCACTCCCCCAAGCCCTGCCTCCTGGCCGCACTCACCAGCCCTGCTGGGAGGTGACTGTCTCTGCTGGGCTGAGCCGGCAGTGCAGCCAGGCCTGGTCCCAGGGCCAGGAATTGCTCCGGCCCCTTAGGATTGGTGCGATCAGCCAGGCCAGGACCTGCCCCAGATGGGGTCCCTCAAGACGCATTTGCCTGCAGGGGTCCAGCCAAGCCCTCCACACTGTTCCCCCCCCACACACACACACATACACCTGGTTGAGACTGGCCAGGCTTCTGCAACAGTCCCAGGCGGCTCAGCTTCGGGGAGACAGGTGGGGCCCCACAGGTGGTGGGAAGCAGAGACTGCCCAAAGCTGGAGGTGCACTGGGGTCCGGCCACGGGGCTGGAAAGAGCAGGGGGTGCGGACAGGGGGCGGAGAGGCGTCCTCGGCCAGCCAGTGGGCAGGCCGAGAGGAGCAAGTGGTGGGTGGGGAGAGCCAGCGGGGTCTTGGGGTGCAGTGCAAATGGAGCAGGCCGGGGCCCCTTCTGAGCATGGGCCCAGCTGCATGGAGCCAATAGGAGCCATTGTAAACCTGGCACTGAAAAGCGGCAGTTGCATAGGCAGGACGGCTCCAACTTCCATGGATCTAACCTTCTCTTCTTCATGGAACCCTTGGATATGCAGGATGAGGAGGCTTTGCCACCCTGTCCATTCTGCATCCCACAAACTCCTTCCCACTGGGGGACAATTTCTTGAAAACTCTTGTAGGGTTTTCAGCCCCTTTCCATAGGGTTCTCTGAAGGAGGGAGTGATCTGCTCCATAGCTATCAAACTGATCTTTCCTGGAATTAATAAATTGTGGACAATTCATTTCATGCTTGTCTAGTCTGTTGCCTGCAAAGTA